GATCTGAACTCTACGTCTGATTAGAGCTGTGTTTGGAACGCGCATGTCGAGAACCAGTCTGACGTCACCAGTTTTCTTTGGAATGGCGATGAGTGTGGATAACCATTGTGTTGCACCCTCCACTTTTTCAATGATGCCGTCGTCACGCATTTCACGTAATTTCTCGTTTACTTTTTTCCTCATGTTGTGCGGAATTTGTCTGAACGACTGTGCTATGGGTAGTATGGATTTATCGATCTCGAGTTTGACCTCAACGCCTTTCAAATTGCCGGTTCCTTTGAAAAGTTTTTCGTGTTGCTTGAGCAACTTCGCTATAACTGGATCCTCGTGCTGCGCAATATTGTTTATGTTCAATGTTATTAGTCCTAATGCCGTAGATAATTCACAGCCGAGAATACATTGGGATTTTGCCGTTGTGACGTAAAACGTTGCGTCTATAGATTGACCGTGTGTTGATTTAATTGTTGTGTGAAATTCTCCAGAAAGGTCTACAGGGCTATCAGTTCCGTATGCACGAATTTTTGCGTTTGTTTTGGCTAGTTTAATGTGATTGTTCTCGCTTTTAATGCGCTCGAATATTTCAGTGTGAATAATGTTGACAGATGCGCCGGAATCGATTAGTACTTTCACTGGAGTGTGTCCAATTTTGATCTGAGTCTCAGGTGACTTATTTGGCGTTGACTTTAAGGTAAAACAATTATCATCGTCCGAGTCTTGTAAGTATCTGTCATCGGGTGTCTTGAGTGGGGTAATATGTTTACCGATTTACTGCTCGATTTGCATAATTTTGCGAAATGTCCGAGTTTTCCGCAATTATGGCAGAATTTTCCTCGAGCAGGGCAATTCTGCATTCCGTTTTGTGTGGAAATGCTCCACCGCAGTTTCGGCAGGTTTTCTTTCCGTCCGGTGGTGGTTTTCGTCTGCGATTGAATGCACCCCGTGGTTGCGATGCTGATGGCTGGCGGTTTCTTTCCAATGCGTTTAGGTCTGTGTTTGCGTTTTCTAGTCGTTGCGCTTGTTGATCCGTAATTTCTAGCGAAGTTCCGTGCGCTAATAAGGCTTTTAAGTCCATGCTTTCACGAAGGGCTTTCTTTTGCAATCTTGGGTCTCGTGTCTTGTGGATGATTTGTATTTTAATCTTTTCGTCTTCGTTCGCGAATTCACAGTCTGTTGCCTTGGTTTTGAGTCTTCCATAATACGCAGTTAGAGTCTCGTTAGTTTCTTGTGTCAACTCGCGAAATTCGAATATAGCTACATCTTTGTTTCCACGCGGAGTGAAATACTGCGTTAAACTGTCGACGGCTGATTCATACGTTGTACCGGTGTCTGGCAGAATGTCGAAGATATCGTTTGTTGCTTCGCCAACGTATGTCAAGAGAAGACCTCGCCGGATGGTCGAGTCGAACTCTCGAAGGCTGATGAGTAGGTTTTCAAAACGCCGTATCCATTTCTTCCATCGTTGAGACACTGTTGCTGAATCTGTGATTGGGTCAAATGGGGGAAAATGGGGTAGACCACTTGTGATGCTAGGACCGCTGACTGTAGCTCTAGCCGTGGAATTGTCAGTTCCTTTAATGGTGCAACTCTGGATTTCGCAGCAATGAATTTGGACTCAAATTTGCCATTGTCGATCTGCCATCGAATGTAAGCACAAGCACCAAAGACTTTTCTTGAGGCATCTGCGAAAACACATAACATTGGTGCTCCAATGGCTGACAAAGGTGTCAAACAACGCGGAAATTCAACTGTATTCAAGTGTTCTAATTCCTTGAAAAATTCAGACCAGTATTTTCGTGTTCCTTCTGGTAATTCTTGATCCCATTCTTGACCCATCATCCACAATTCTTGAATGCCTATCTTTGCTCGAATGAGGAACCCTGCAGCGAATCCAATTGGGTCGTAAATTCTTGCAACTCGACTCAGGATAGTTCTTTTGGTTAGCGGTGGTTCTGTCTGTTTTGATTCATCGTTTTCGTTCTTCGTGTTGCTTAGGTCACCTGTCACCTTGTACGAAAACTTGTCCACTTTATGTTTCCATTCCAATCCAAGTACTTTCTCCTTGCTATCTCCTTCGAGCATTTTCAATGCCGTTTCTTCTTTACTGTCTTGTTGATTCAGGGTCTTGTTAGATATCCATTCTTTAACGCCGAATCCTCCTGTTTCCAAAATCTTATCAATGTCTTCAGTTCGCTTTCGAGCTTCCTTTACAGTGTCGAGTGAGTCACACAAGTCGTCCATATAGGAGTTAGCTTTAATGGCTTTTGCAGCTTCTGGATATAATTCTTGGTTCTCTTCAGCGGTTTTCTGGAGCGCAATCTGGGCCGGTGCCGGTTTATCCCCGAACGTCAACACTGTCTTCACATAGGTGTCTGGATCTCGTTCTGTTTCGAGGTCTCGCCATAAATACCGATGAACATGTTGGTCTTCAAGTGGGATACGAACGCGATGGTACATTTTCGAAATGTCACCACTAATTGCAACTTCTCTCTCTCGAAAACGTAAGACAACTCCAAACAAACTATTTAGCAAGTCAGGTCCCTTTTTCCAATAATCATTTAATTTGCTCCCTTGGTACGTTGCTGACGAGTTAAAGACAATTCTGACTGGTGTGCGTTTCTTTTCTGGTCGTATAACTGCATGATGTGATATATAATGCACAGGACCTTCGTACTTCTCTTCATCTCTCCATTTCAACCATCTGTTTCTGGTATGCTTCGGCTTGGTCTGGGTTGCTTGACAGGCGGCGTTCGGTCGATTCAAGTCGTTTCAAGGCTTGATTTCTGTTATCAGGTAACGATCTTGGGTCCTTTTTCCTGGGGTACGGGATCATCCACTGATTGCCAATCTTCTGCGCTGAATTTTCGATCAATACTTTTTCTTCTCGTTCAACCTGAGTGAGTTTATCCGCTTCATAGACACACGGTTTGACACGAACACCCATACTTTCAGTTTTCCAGAACTCGGATATGTCGATTGGTGCGGTATACTTTACGTGGAGGACTCGTGTTGATTCTCTTGCCGTTGCTGCTCCAGATTTGTCGCCAAACAGAACCCATCCTAATGGGGATTTTCTTGCAACGATGTGATCCTTTTGCTTCGTTGGGCCAGTATGTAACTGTGCGTGGTCAATTCCGATTAGGAGATCAATTGGACCTTTCTTTCTTCTTATTCTTTCTCCGGGCAGGCCGAGCTGCTCCATGATGCTCCCTGTATCAATGCTACCACTCTCGCTGCTAATTACTGGAATTCCGATTGCCTTTACAGAATATGTTCTTCGATTATCAATTGCGCTGACTGGGACGTTGTAAACGTTAGTATTTATCTCTTCTTCTTGCCCACCAACTTTCGTTATAGTCACCGAGATTTCCTTTCCTTTGAGCCCGAGGCTATCTGCAGTTTCTTACATTTTTCTTTCAATCACTGATAACATATGGCTATTATCCATGTCGCTTGGTATACCCACTTCTTTTAATGTGTTGTAGGACCGTTTTAGCAAATGCACAAGGTCACAGAAGCGTGCATCCTCTTCTTCTTGTAAAGCTTTGAATTAGGCGATATCCTGCGTTATCGTATCAGATACATGCCTTACGTCCCCATAGATAGAGTCCAAATACTGCCATGATGCCGCGTCATAATCTGACCCAATACCTGATTCAATTGAACTGATTCAATTGAATCAGTTCTAGGGGTTTATATTTTAGACACGTCCGTAACAAAGTTATTGCGTCCCGTTTACTGTACCTTGATTCAATTGTGTGCTTGAAATCAGCCCGAAAGATTACATATTCCCTCACATCTCCTGAAAATTTGGGTAACTTCTTGAAAACCACACGATTGTTCATTTTTCATTGCTACTGTACTAATATTCGTCGTTTCCAGATTGTTGGTAGCTCCATTTTGTACATTTGACACATCATTATGTCCACTTCCGTCCGTAGCTGATGTAATTTCCTCTGGCGTCTCAACACCCATGTTTTGCGTCAAGCTGTCAACTTCTTCCGGTGCGCTTTCGTTTTGCATTCCGATCATTCCTGCTGGCTGTTGCAATTCTGTTTCGGAGTTTTCAGCATCAACGTGCTCCACATAGGTCTTGACTTCTAAATCAATTCTTAAAAAGTATTCTTGACACTCCGCTAGCCATTTTTCTTCCTTTTCAAACTCATTATCGTCCGTAATTAAGCTCGTAAATTCTTCGTGTTTCAAGACAAGCGAATCAAAGGCTTTATTTATCTTTAATAGTGAATTACGCACCTCGTTCTGTGGTCTTTTATGCTCAATTTCATATTCTAGTGTCTTTCCAATGCGTGTAAGCGCGGCTTTTGCTGTGCGTCGACCAATCTTCGCCTTCATAAACTCCGCAGAAACCTCTGTCATTTCTTACATATATCGTCAATTCCACTTGCCAACAGATAATAAGAAATCGAATATTATGGTTCGTCGAATCGACAATACTCGTTAAATGCCACACGACTGGATATTGGTTTATCGTATTTTATTGTCACAAATAATACTGTGCGCAAATGCAATTCGATCTAAATATTGATATAAATTATATGAAATTATTAGCTAAATAATCAACGTATATGCATGCAATTATTCATCCTTATTTTGCTTACTTCTGTGCCAATATCCCCATGTTAAATCACATTAAAACAGATATACTGGTTAGCATAAACTTAGATACTTTAGTTGCGATTCTCAGGTTAGCAGTTAAACGTTTCGACTGTGTTGTTCTCATGTGTCTCTGCAGTAATACGATAGCCTAATCATAAATGTCAATCAAAGTGAATCAATAATAATTAATATAGTGCAATTAAGTGTAATACATAAGTGTTCAACGCCACACCTGTATAGAGGTCCAATTAGCTATAAAATGCAATATGTGGTATTGAGAAGTTTTTATTACAGTAGCCCCCCCTTTCTGACTTTTTTGCCAGCCCCCTCTTAGAAGTTCATAATAGTTTTGTGGCCCCTCCAAATATCTTCCGCCCCCCAGCATTAATATATAATGACTGCTCCCTAATAAGTGAAAATATAACAATTTTTTCATGTGAAGACAAAAAGGGTTTTCTGGGGAAGTCTATTTTGAGCTTTTAAACATTCCTTAATTAAACTGCTAATAAGTCCATCTTTCCCAGTAGTGTTTTTTCAGTACCAACTAATAGGTATAGTAGATTTTCCTGATACGATAGCTACTCAAGCGACTAGGCTAGCCCGCCTGATATAAACGGTCAGCACTTGTTTCCATCTTCCAAACTGACGTGACGTCATGACTTAGCCTAACCAAATGGAAACAAGTAAAAACCGATATTATATAAACAACCTTTGACTTCCATCTTTCTGACTTTGTGGAAAAATTCTAGATTCCAGAAACAAATATTCGCAATAATAATGATCTTTATTCATGAATAATTAAATTACACGTTAGCCAAAGCCAGAGGCTTATATGGCTATATAAATGGACAGCCAAATTTTCTAACAATCATTACCATATAAGGAGAAGTTGACCATAAATGGCCTGTATCAAATTGCATTTGGCCTTTTGGGCTGCGCTCTCTGATGTACTCGGAAGGCACTAGATAGGATCGACCTAAACCCCATGAGCCAACAATAACATAATATTTTATCAGCAGTATAATTTAATGAACACTAGCGAATTTCCGGAATATTCAGAATTGGTTTCCGGTTTCAAAGAGTGAAAATTTCAGCTGCAATTTTAAATTAATCTTCTTTTCCTTTGGATGCAGTATTAAATATTTACACGATCGACGGCAAGTTAAAGTTTTATTCTAACACACACAGTTTTACCACCTTAGTACATAAAAGCAGAAATCTTTATTATACAATTTATCTAATTTATAATATAATCTTGACTATAAAGTAACAATTGAAGTACAAAATGTCTATTTACATGCACTAATATACTATACATTTAATACCAGACAATATGTTGTCTGATGTCACCAACCTTTACATTAATTTGCTTTAAACATATGCTAGGTCTGGTGTAGTAGAATTGGTGCAGGCTACAGTTAAATCTATCTGTATTAAATTAGACAATTCTACATTATTTAGGGTGAAGAAATTAATAAATACACCTTTGTAGTTCAATTCATTTTTTTTAATAAATAATTTGACTAATGTCTCTGCTGATTTTTCTTGCATGTACTTACAATTTTCAGCGTTGCCCCGGTATACCGAACTCATTACTCACGTAGTATACTATTATTTAATCGAAAATCCCAAAATAAAACTTACAAAACTTAAACCTAAAATATATTAAATTTCTCACAGTCTCACGAATCACGATATGTCTCACAGTCCCAATGTTGTTTTTGTATTCTCTGTCTATCAACTAATTGCTCTTACTTCAAAATGTCAATCTTGTTTATAAAAGTCCCCGCCCCTTGTCACGCCACCTAATGGGGCCTATACTAATTTCGGTTCACTACTCCCCTAAAAATTCAGTCTTAATTTTTATAAGTCAACACAATGTGAACTGTTCTCATTTACTGTTCCCTGCTTAGTCTGCATCCTCGTTTTCTGCTAGCTCACGTATTTTCTTACTTGCTTCAATTGCTGCTCCCCGTTTTCTTCCTTTCATTTTCAACCGTCTGCTTCTCTTCGTTCTTTCTTTGTTCTATTTGCGTTGTGCATCGAATTTCGAGTGGACACACCAACTGTAACGGTCTTTCGATAGTGTGTCCCTTGTGTAAAAGTACCACACCACGCACCACTCCGTCCTTACCTTTGACTTGTCGCACTACCTTTAATTTCCCTTCTTCCATTCGCTCCTGTTCTTTTCTTCTCCCACGACTAAAACTACTTCACCGACTTCAGGCGCGTTAACTGGCTTTCCGTTTACTCGTTGGCTTTCCATTAAACTGTGTACGTATTCTCGTTGCCATCTTTTCCAAGCGTTGTTCTTTGCTTTGGCGATTCTCTTTTGCATCTTCGTAAGCTCGTCTCATTCTCTATGTCATCAAGAAGGTAAGTGTTTTTCCCTCGGATGAGAACGTTTGGCGTTAGTACTTCTTCCTCTCCACTTTCGCTTTCGACATAGGTTAATGGACGATTGTTCATATTAATTTCAATGTCCATGAGGACCATTTCCAAATTCTCGAATGAAAGGTGCGATCTTCCGAGGGTCTTATAAAGGGTTTTCTTTACTTCCCGAATCAATCTTTCATAGATCCCTCCCCACCAAGGGGATTTAGCAAGGTTGAATCTCCAGTGTATACCTTGTGCTGCTAGGAAATCGTGCAATTTCTCACTCTTTCTAATGGCTTTGATTAGTTTGGCTGTCGTTTTAAATGTCGCTGCGTTGTCCGATATCATTAATCGAGGTCTTCCTCTTCGAGCGATGAATGAGTTGAGCTTTTGTTGGAATTCCTCTGCTTCTTGCCTCTTGGTTAGTTTCAGGTGGATCGCTCGAGATGCTGCACACGTGAAGATTAATACGTAGCACTTTCCCTCTTCTCTCTTACTGATTTTGTGCCTTAACGGCCCGGCGTAATCGACACCGGTGACTTCGAATGGTTCGCTAGCTTCTGTTCTAAAGCTGGGCATGTTGCTCGTCAATGGTGACCAATACGGCTTCGTGGAATACAACTTGCAGATATTGCAATTGTTGATTAATTTTTTCACCTTTGATCTAAGTTGTGGTATCCACCACTGTTCTCTCAAAGCAGCCATGGTATTTGCGACACCGAAATGTTTGATCTTGCTGTGGGTTATTAACTTTTCTACGAACAGTCCTCCGTCAAGGTATATTGGCTCGTATCCATTTACTCTTCCTTTACACTCGAGAACTTTCCGGTTACTTCGTCTTCGACGATTTTCCAACCTGGCGCTTGTAATTCAGGGTTGACACCTTGTTGTACTCTCCTTACCCAAGCGTTTCTTGCAACTGTAATTTCTTCGCTTACAAGAGGCCCCGATCGCTTTTGGTTTCGACAAACTCTTGCCAAACAGTTGTTTAGAAATCTTAATGCCCATGATGTTACTCGCAATGTACGCCAGTATGTGTTTCTTTCTAACAAAGCGTCCCATTCGTCTGGCTCTCGATCTTTCGTAAACAGTGCTTGCTCTTTAATTGGTTTGCATTCTTGACTGACAGATGTAGTTAGTTTCAAATTTGGTTGCTCTGGCCATTGTTCTTTCTCTAATAACCAATCTGGACCGTTAAACCAGCTTCCGTTTTGCAATTTTTCCATGGTTGCTCCTCTGCTCCCTAGATCAGCAAGATTCTTATTTGACGGACAATATTTCCAAATGATGCCAAGCTCGTTGGTTATCTCAGCTATCTTCTTGTACCACTGTATCTTCAATTCTGGTGAAACCTCGGCATTCCATCCCTTTTTCTCTTCACAAGCCTCTCTGTAAATGTGTTTTCCTTCGGCCATCGTGGGTGATATTATTCCCAATGGGTCGTACACTTTGCCAAGCTGACTCAAGATGCTTCGTTTCGTAACTGGTTCTGTCTCACGTACTGCTGGTACTTGTATTTCTAGAGTGTCTTCACGCTTGTCCCAAACATGACCAAGAATTTTGCTAGGATTTGACATGTTCTCATCCTCTAATGTCGCGATGTTCGACTCCCACTTGTGAATCGGTAATTTTGCACTCTCAAGAATAACTTCACTTTCTTTCTTAAACTTCTCCAACTTATCAATGTTATTTCCCGTTTGCATGATATTGTCCACATACGTACTTTCTCTAAGGGCAGTCACTCTTTCCTCTAATTCTGGTGATTGTTGGTCGTAGTGGTATTCTAATGTAGCACCGAGTAAGAATGGGCTGGCTTCAACCCCGAATGGAACTCTGGCGAACCGAAAATGTTCCTCTTTTTCGTCGCGCTCGAAGAGAAATCTGAAGGCATCTCTGTCTTCTTCTTTGATTGCTATCTGTAAAAAGGCTTTTTGAATGTCTGCAAGAAGCAGATTTGACGACATTCTTGCTCGTCAAGTCTTTGATATAAGTCTTTTATCCGACTCCGTGCTTGAAAATATGGAAAACACGGAGTCATATGGAAAACACGGAGTCTGACGTCAGAGAAAAATATGGAAAACACGGAGTCATATGGAAAACACGAAGTCTGACGTCATAAAAATATGGAAAACACGGAGTCATATGGAAAACACGGAGTCTGACGTCATAAAAATATGGAAAACACGGAGTCATATGGAAAACACGGAGTCTGACGTCAGAAAAAAATATGGAAAACACGGAGTCATATGGAAAACACGGAGTCTGACGTATTGTCAGCGTGAAATATGGAAAATAGTAATTAAATAATATATAATTTATGCGAATATAAACAAACGGACGAATTTATAATATAACGAATTGGAAATTTTCTGCACTAATTCTGGTATTTCTCTAAAATGTCGTGAAAATATGGATTGTTTATTTTTAAATACAATCAAGCAAATAATATTGTTTCTCTTGTCGTGTGACTTGTTCAGTTGTACAATATTTGAAGTGATTTTAATGCGGATTTTGTTCACCTCGCATTGGTATGTTGATAAAAATATAGTTTATATACTGTACTTAATACTGCTAGAATATTTCATAGTCGATTTACATGTAATATTTATAACACACAAAATCTTGACACAAAACAGATATGCTGCTTGGAAACAGCGTGCAATATTGTTATTTACTAATAAATAGATGCAGCCAGCCAATACACAAATCCGTGCAGTATATTAATGGCATTAAAAAAGTTTTCAGGTGTCCAAAAAAATACCTGCACTATAGTGATAAGTCCATACCAAGTTAATATCTCTAACATATAAGTTTTAGGTTTTTATACTGAATTAAATATCATGCAATATCATAAGTTGCAATTAATCAAGCCATTGATATTTGAGTGATTAAAATAGGTATTTATAACTGACCATTTGTTCCAGGCTTAATTGCATGATACCATTGTAAAATCGTCTGGCGTTAGGCAGAGTAAAATATAAAGTAGGGTACATCTGGGCACATATATTGCCACTAATGGCACTTATAATTGAAGGGTTAATATAGAAATTTTGTATTTCATAAAGTATTACAATGCTTTTGAAAGGGATAATTTTAAGTGAAACCCACCTGTTGTGGACTTAAAAGTAAAATTGTGAACTGATGATGCAGAACCACTGGTAGCTAGGGATTGGGGGGCACTAAATTTACTGTTTTCGTAGATTTTTGTCCAAGCAATTAAGTTATAAAGAACAGAATAATAGTGTTGCCACATTCATGTAGTTATAGGCAAATGGTTGATTTGTCAAATATCAATTATGGATTGTTTCATTATAAATACTGGAATGATCATACTGGATGGTTGTACAATAAGTAAAATTTGCCTTAGGGCCTGTTTATATGGAAGCCGGGCTGGCCCGCTTAGCAAGACAGCCCGGTAAGCGGGATGAATTTCTCTCGTGTTTATATGAGAAAAATTCATCCCGCTTGCCGGGACAATTTTGTTACATTGTATTGTTTTGACAGATGTTAAAAATAGCTTGCAGCGGTATCTTTGAACTTTCATCCCGGCAACCAGCCTAGCCTGCTTGTGAGTGTTTATATGGAGAAATTTCCATCCCGGTAAGCGAGATCTCGCCTCTTTCAAGCGAGTCCATATAAACGCACAATAATTTTTACTATAAAAATAACTACACAGCGAGATCTTGCTTACCGGGCTGTCTCGCTTAGTGGGCCAGCCCGGCTTCCATATAAACAGGCCATATAAACAGGCTATGTAAATTTAGTAAGCCAGTATCTAGGCTGGCTTGCATTACATATAAAACATCCCCTATAATCCTACAATAGTTGGAAAAAATTAAGAAGTAAAACAAATCTAGAATGAAATATATTTCCCTTCAATATATGCAATTTGTAGTTAGTTGTATATATAGGCACAAAAATGGCTGAAATAGTTTAAAATTCAATACAATGACATTTTATTGAATTTTAAACTATTTCAGCCATTTTTGTGCCTATATATACAACTATAACTACAAATTGCATATATTGAAGGGAAATTTACTTAATTTTTTCCAACTATAGTAGGATTATAGGGCATGTTTATATGTAATGCAAGCCAGCCGAGATACTGCATGGCTTTATAGTGGCTTACTTTACTAAGGCAAATTTTGCTTATTGTACAACCATCCATGCAGTATGAGCATTCCAGTGTTTATAATGAAACAATCATAGTAGCTAGATATTTGACAAATCAACCATTTGCCTATAGAACTACATGAATGTGGCAACACTATTATTCTGTTCTTTATAACTTAATTGCTTGGACAAAAATGGGAAAGTACAAAACATGGACCCCCGGTCCATGGACCCCTTGTCTGGACCTAGCCTGCGAACAGGCTCTCAAGCTGAATTGAGAGCCTGCATCGATGACTAATGAATTTGAATATCTGCCCCGTAACGTTCATTTTTCCAAATATGGAATGTCTATCCTTATATGGTGTTGTTTACAACTTTCGTGCAAACTAAATTTAGACCGTGCAAACTAAATTTAGACCGTACATTTTATACTGTTTTCCGAAATATAAGATATTCAAGCAAAAGTTCAAATGTTT